GGAGAGAGAGAGAGAGAGGGAGAGGCCGGAGAGAGAGAGAGGGAGGAGAGGCCGGAGAGAGAGAGAGAGGCCAGAGAGAGGGAGAGAGGCCAGAGAGAGGGAGAGAGGCCAGAGAGAGGGAGAGAGGCCAGAGAGAGGGAGAGAGGCCAGAGAGAGGAGAGAGAGGCCAGAGAGAGGGAGAGAGGCCAGAGAGAGGGAGAGAGGCCAGAGAGAGGGAGAGAGGCCAGAGAGAGGAGAGGAGAGAGGCCCAGAGAGAGAGAGAGAGAGAGAGAGGAGAGAGGCCAGAGAGAGAGAGAGAGAGAGAGAGAGAGAGGAGAGAGCCAGAGAGAGAGAGAGAGAGAGGGAGGAGAGGAGGAGAGAGAGAGAGAGAGAGGCCAGACGGAGAGGAGAGAGAGAGAGAGAGAGAGAGAGAGAGAGGGAGAGAGGCCAGAGAGAGAGAGAGAGGCCGGAGAGAGGCCGGAGAGAGAGAGAGGGAGAGAGGCCGGAGAGAGAGAGAGGCCGGAGAGAGAGAGAGGCCGGGAGAGAGAGAGGCCGGGAGAGAGAGAGGGAGGGAGGGAGGGAGAGAGGGAGGGAGAAAGAGGCCGGAGAGAGGCCAGAGAGAGGGAGAGAGGCCAGAGAGAGGGAGAGAGAGAGAGAGGCTAGAGAGAGGGAGAGAGGCTAGGGAGAGAGGCTAGAGAGAGGCTAGAGAGAGGCTAGAGAGAGGCTAGAGAGAGGCTAGAGAGAGGGAAGCCAGAGTGAGAGAGACCAGCAAGGGAGAGAGGAGGCCAGAAAGGGAGAGAGGCCAGAAGGATAAAGTTCTAAAACTACACACAAGTAACACGAAGTACAATACTCTGCATAACCCTCTGACCATATGTCCTCACCTGGTGTCCTCAGGCCTGGTGACCCCCCCTCCGCCCCCCTCCTCCCACGGCGAGGTGCGCATCGCCTTCAGAGTGTCCAACCTGGACTCTCGCTCTCAGCTGGAGGCGGCGCCACGGTCTCACTGTGTCTTCATGACGTGTGGAGGACAGAGCCGCTCCAACGATAAGATCACCTGCGACCTGTACCAGCTGCTGAGTCCATCTGCAAGAGACCCCAGTGGGCTGCTGCTGGGGGGAACGTAAGGAGCACTCTGGCCTCTCTCTGGCCTCTCTCTGGCCTCTCTCTGGCCTCTCTCTGGCCTCTCACTCTCTATCTGGTGTCTCTCTGTATCTCGGGTGTCTCTCTCGCTGGTCATTCTTGTATCTTTCTGGTCTCTCTCTGGTCTCTCTCTCTGGTCTCTCTCGTCCTGGTAACCTATCACATGTGTTCGCAGCCCTTCCCCCACGAAGCCAGACCCCGATGGGAGCTCAGACCCTGTCTCCTCCTGCTCAGAGTGTGACATCACGGAGAAGAAACTGAGCAGAGAGAGAGTGACGGGTTTCCACGTGGAGGTGGTGGTGACCGGCGCCGTGGACCAGTGCGTCTTCTACGGCAAAGACAGCACCGAGAAGGTCCAGGAGGAGACCGTGTGCTTCGACCAGGGGGAGGACCCGCCGCCCGGCCAGCTCTTCTTCCTCCAGGACCACCTCAGCCCTAGCGTGTGCTCCACCGCCAAAACTGACTGTGCTAGCAACACTAACACCAGCAGCAGTGGACACCAGGAGCGCGGACACCAGGTGGAAACCAGGCCTGAGTCTCCCATAGTGACAGAAGAGCGTGGAGACCAGTCCCTGTGCCGGCTGTACCGCCACGTCTCGCACGACTTCCTGGAGATCCGCTTCCAGATCCAGCGCCTGCTCGAGCCGCGTCAGTACATGCTGCTGCTGCCCGACCACATAACAATCCACATCCTGTCCTTCCTGCCCACGCGCTCGCTGGCTGCTCTCAAGTGCACCTGCCACACCTTCAAGGTCCTGATCGAGACCTACGGGGTCCGGGCCGTGGACTCGCGCTGGACCCAGGACCCGCTGTACCGAGACGACCCCTGCAAGCAGTGCAAGCGGCAGTACGAGCGCGGCGACGTGTCTCTGTGTCGGTGGCATCCCAAACCCTACCACCACGACCTGCCGTACGGACGCTCCTATTGGATGTGCTGTCGGAGAGGAGACAAGGACACGCCAGGGTGTAGGGTTGGACTGCACGACAACAACTGGGTCCAACACACACAAGAAGGACTGGAGAGGAGGGCGAGGAGGGAGGAGAGGCGGGAGGAGAGGCGGGAGGAGAGGCGGGAGGAGAGGCGGGAGGAGAGGCGGGAGGGGAGGCGGGAGGGGAGGCGGGAGGAGAGGCGGGAGGACAGGAGGGAGGACAGGAGGGAGGACAGGAGGGAGGACAGGAGGGAGGAGAGGCGGGAGGACAGAGAGGAGAGGAAGGACCAGGCCAGGTAGAATGAACAAATCAATCTCAATCCAACCGGGGGAGGAGATGAGGGGAGAAGGGACCAGGCGCGGTAGATGGAACAGACCAACCAAGCTGGAGAGGACCAATACACAGCTTGTATTAGTCCAGCCGTTGGCCCTGGTCTCCTCTCCCTCCTAGTCTCTCCTACTGTTCTCCTTGGCCTTTCCTCTTGGTCTGTCTCCTGTCCTGTCTCTGCTTCAGTCTCTGGTCTCGGGTCTTTGGTCCCTGGTCTCTGGTCCAGTCTCTGCATTGTTCTTTGGTCTCTGGTCTGGATTTTTAGTCCTGAATGTGGCTCTGAAATGCTGCTCCATGGGTTTTAAAACAGCCATAATAATGAACTGTTTCTGTGACGTGGATTTACAGAATGTGCTTTTAAACTGGAGAGAGAAGAGTCTGCACCGATGCCGACGCCTTTGAGAGAAACCCTGCTTTACAAACTATAAAATATGGAGTGAGGGTTATTTACAGGCTGAAGCCTGTTTCCTTATGCAGGAATTTGTTTCGTTAGCTTTCGTTAGTAAATGAAGGCCTTACATGGCTCATATCTGGATTTACAAAGACAATGTCACATATTAACAACGGGACCATAGAGAGCAGTAAACCACAGATTTGAGGCCAAAATGGTGAGTGTGACGGTTACTGAGCTAGAGGAGCCAAACATCATTGAGCGAGCGGGTTAGCATTGTCCATCTGTATAGTCTATAGGACAAATGCATTCCACTGCCCCTTCTGGCTATCTGCTTAGTATTCGCTTGTCACCCGCTCCTACTTTTTCGTTACCAAAATTCAAACATTCTTTACAATTTAGTGCCTTCAATTGGATCGCACTTTAGACGTTACATAATTAAAGATTGTAATTTCCAGTTTGTTCCACTAGAGGGACAAGAATGAACACTCGATTCTCTCCTGTTTCTGTCTGAAAAACAATACAATATTCTATCTGCTTTTCTCTGCTCTTGATCCACAAATGCGTTGTCTCTTTGTGAAGCCAGTTCCACAGTTTACCAGCCACAGTCCTGCCACGGCTGCCCCACATACACCTGTATTTCTCTCAGCTTTGTCCACATCGGTGCAGACCAGTCCTCATTACGTCACTTTCATTTTTATCGTTTTTGGACAGTTTTATTTACCCTGGTTTGTGTTGAATGTGTGGGTTTGATGTATGGTAAGAGCCTGTACCTGATATTCATACATGTGATTGAGCAGAAAAAGTTTTTAAAGCAAATTATAATTGTAGGAATAATTTGGAAAGTACTGTCTGGGGAAACAGCTATGCTAACTTAGGCTAATGTGGCTAACTCTTACTTAAGTGGCTAATAATGCGTCCCAATACTACAAGTTCATTATTTATTTTCATAGCTAACTCCTCCTAAGAGAGGTCACATACTTGGTCCTCTGTTAAACAATTCAAAACAACTTTTTAAATCCTAAAATTCAGAACTATGCTATTTTTTTTCTCTTAATCGCTATCAAACCGAACACAAACTGTATTAATGAGGTTTGGGTGAAATAAATAAAAACGTGGCTAATGTGACTAACTCTTGCTAACTCTGCTAATTGTTTAACTAGCCAGTGTGACTAACTGGTGTCATCTTGCTTATATGGCTAACTCTTTCTAACTTGGCTAACACTGCTAAGTTTGTCTAACTCTTGCTAACGTAGCTAACTGGGGCTATCTCTTGCGAACGCTACTATCTCTTGCTTGCACGGCTAACTCTGTCAAACTCTCTAACTATGCTAACTTGGCTAATTAGGGCTAACACTGCTAACTCTTGCTAACGTGGCTAACTTTTGCTAATGTGGATGTGAGAAGATGCTGAACATGATGATGTGAGAGATATCCAAAGTGTAAAATCCGGTACCGGCTCTTTCCAAAGTCAACTTCTCTGACCTTTTTCCTGCAGAGAACTTCGCTCTCATGTTTCGACACCCGCTTCCTGCCTTAAAATCCTTTACCTCTTTCCCTCCAGGACTTTGAAACTTGCACACGTTTTAGAACTGATTCTGTGGACTTTTGGGGGGAAAAGTGCCTGGTTGACTTTGCGTTTGTATGTATCCTTTAAAAAGCTCCTCTGTTGGTTTTCGCTTGTGTGAAAACGATGGACTAAACGCTGAATGATGTAATTTAAAGTTATTGGGAGTTGAGTCGTGTACAAACGAGAAATCTGCTTGAATAAATATAAAAAGTGATTATGTCGACTGTGTGTTTTGTGTTCAACTCGTTATAAAGACATGTTAATGCTGGCTAATGTCCCTAAGTGTCTAATAACCAGACTAAGAATAATTAATCAGTTTATACAGCACTCTTTTGGACTCTCAAAGACACGTGTCATTATTCTTTCACTCCAAACATGGTGGTTATTAACCACTACAGCCACACTGACAGAAGTGAGGCAACCAGTCTGCGCCATCTGCCCCTTCCTCCAACAACCATTCACACGCACACCAGACTTTCTAATGTGGGGGGAGTGTCTTGCCCAAAGACACAACCACAGTTTGGCACTTTATAGCCACCCCACTGTGTGGTATTTCCAGAGGTCTCCCATCACAGTACTACCCAGGCCCTGCCCTGCTTAGAGTCAAGAGGTCTGACTGGATCTGGCTTTCATCTGCAGATATGGCCACGTTGATGGTGATGACAGAAGAGAGACACCATCCATTCTCTCAAACAATGCATTGTACATATTATTAGTGGCAGGGGAAACCAGAGCACCCAGAGGAAACCTATACAGACACATGGAGAACATACAAAATCCACACACGAACCCAGGACCATCTGCTAATAAAGAGTCATCTGACCATAGACTGTAACATCTGACACTGTCTAAACCAGACCAGGAAAAAGTGCGGCCCCGGGGCCACATCTGGCCTGATTCCCATTTCTATGCGGCCGCTGGACCCGTCTCAGCCGTTAGCCTCATACTGGACTGATGCTTAAGTCAGGAGCATAGACTGTATATATTAACGGAGAGAGTCACGCCTATTTCCGCCGTTCATAGGAGTTGGCCATGAAAAGTGCTTTCAAGGAGCAATCCAAGATGGCCGCGAGTGGTCCCGCCCACAAGAAAATTGTGAAAAAACGCATCTGCGCATGCGTCAGCTCCATTCATTTGAACGAGAGACTTCAAAAATTCACAGCAAGTAAACTATAGTGGACCAAAAAAAATCACCCCCCTCAGCATTGACACACATGTGGAACGGAGCTTTGGGCCAAGAGACAACTTTTGGTCCATCCTGTAAAGACGTTTTTGAGAGGTCTGCTAGCGCTATATGTTAGCATTGGCTAATTCTTCTTCTGGGTCCACCCCCATCGGCCCGGGGTGGTATTGCAAGCATGTCAGCGCACGTCATTTTGGCCACTTTTGAGCTGGGACCCTCCCCCACTGGTCAGGAGCCAACAGCCAATGAAGGCTTGTAACTTTGCGGAGATTTTTTAACAACAGATTATTAATAACAAAGAAAATGTTAGTATTAGATAGCAATATGGCCTACGTGCAGGACTGTACAAGGACTCTACAAGGACTCCATGTTATGACTATGATGTGACTGTCTCTTTGTGACACGTATGTCTTTCGATGTGTGACGTGACAATGACTATATAAACTGTCTACTGCCTTTATTCTGTCTGAGAGAAGGAAACAATGGAAACCAGTGGAACTTGAGAGAAACTTAAATAAACTTCCAGAGTTTGGCACACCACGATCCGTCTCTGTCTGCTGAATTCTAACAGATTTGGTGGAGAATGTGCGGCTCAGTGTGTGCCATTCTCTGGATTGTTTTGGGGGAGTTTGCTCTGTTTCTTTTCCTCGGCGTGAGAGATCGGCATGCTGTGTCTGGGAGCGGAGATTCCAGCAGGCTGGAAGAGCTGTTCCTGGATGCTTCTTGTCGCTTCTGTCACTTTTGTTTTTTAAATTGAATATTCCGACGCGGAAAAGAGGTTGGCAGACCTCTCGGACAGTCCTTGGATCCTGTTTGACAAGAATAAGGTAAGCAGACACCTTTTTATATGTAAAGTCTGTATAATTGGATATTAGCTAAATTTTGGTCTGTTTTTGGGGTCTGTCAAACTCTCTAAATTGAAAAAGTCTCGGGGTTAGAGTCCCTTTGAGAAAAGATAGAGAAGAAGGATCCTTAGTGAAACCATGGTATAAAAGTAAAAGCAATTTTTAAAAAAGGGAAACGTGTTAAGGAGGCCTTTTGTCACAAAAAGTTTTGTAATTAACCAATTCCAGGCTTGATAAATGACAAAAGTAAAGAAGCAACAATATTTCAGTGATCACGGTTTAAATTACATACAGAAAAAGGGAGTTTTTGTTTTTGGAGTGAACAGAGTTCACCGGAGAATGCAGAGTTTTATCTACAGTTGAGCTATGAGAGGGTTGTATCCAACAGTTGTTTTTGTTTTTTAGAAAGAGATTTTGAGTTTAAATTAGTTTGCTACCTCGATAAAATAGAAGGAAACGTTAAAGACAAGAGTGCCTTTTGTTACAAGTGTGGAAAGTGATCACTTCTAGACTTGGATGACAAAAGTATAAAGAACAACATCAGTTAAATTCGCTTAACAAAGTAATCTTGAAAGTTCTTCTTCTTTCTGTTTTTGCATTTTTGCTAAAACACTACTTTCTGCCTGTGTGTGTGCGCCGCTCTATCTTGCTGCCGTTGTCAGGGGAAACGGCCCCCTCCTTCGCTGCTCTGGCTCTGAATCAAAACAAACCTGCTTTTAGGATTTTGGCTTTTCATAGTTGTTATTCCGTTAAATTTGCTAAATTTGCCATTGAACATTGTGTTATGACACGTTTTTAAAAACTATTAGGGAATAGAAGTTTTGAATTATTATGTTTTTGAAACCCAAATATTAGTGCTAAAGCTGTGCAATTCTTTTTAGACCTAACATATTTCTAGATTCCATTCTTTTAAATCTGCTGCTTATTTCTTAACTGTTTGTGAGTTGGATTTGTTTTTATGTTTTTATTTTAGTTACAAAAGCCGTTTTTCAAACATTTAAATTAGAATCTGTGTAAAAAGTGATTATCGATCATAGACTTTGTCTAAAAAGAAAGAGGGAATTAGGATTAGCTGTAAAAGTATTATTAAGTTGAACTCTACCCAACGACTTTTTTGTTTTGACTATGCACCTGACCTTGTTCCTGTTGCTGCACGCAGCACAGGAGACTGCTCTGAAATGTACTCCAATTCATATTGACTTAATTTGAAAATGCTGCAATTATTTTAAATTAGTAGAATATATACTGAGATAAATGTTCAAGTGTAAAAGGGAAAGTCCATAAAGTGAAACCCAAGGACGCATAGATAATTAAACACACAGTACAAAAGTACATAATACATATTTTAAAGTTTGAAGATTTTTGAGATTTGAGTCTTGTTTTTTATATTAAGAGTTTCTGGGCTTAAAATGTCATCATTAGTAAGATAATAAGTAATCTTTTATTTATATAGCGCATGTTGGGAAGCCAAGAGCGCTCCAAAATTGTTTAGACTTTAGGGAGAAAAACAATCTCATTCACATACTGATATCTGTTGTTTTTAATTTGACTATAAGGTTGTGTTCCAGAACCAAGGGCACACACTGTACAGGGCCACTGGACAGCTGGAGTGGACACTGGACAGCAAAGCCCACCCAGCCACAGGTCACAGATCAAAGAGCAAAGGGAAATGCCACCTCCTTGCCCCTCCCCCCACTACAGAACTGAGTGGGCGTGAGAGAGCGGGGTAGAGAGAGGTGTCTGGAGACGTGATGGGTGGAGCATCAGGCAGAGACCTGAATGAGAGTTGAAAGTGTGTCCAGTTGGTTTACATCACCACAGTGTGACCTTTGAGACCTACAGGTGGTTCGAGGAGTCTGGAGACACAACCCCAAAATTCACACCCTACACACACACATTCACATTTACATATAGATACATGAAAAAGCAGAACATGAGAAAAAAGCATTTTAAAAGTTTACTCCAATGTAAACACATATTTTTAATTGTCTATCACTTGAATCAGTATTTTTTGAGACCAGAAATGTTCATTTTAATTCTATATTGTCATGGACTTAATCGACCTCTGTCCTGACACTTTTGATTTGTTGATTTTGTACTGTGTGAAGTAATTACATTGACTAGGATTATTTCTGATAAAAACACAAATTAGAGAAGTAAACTGAATCATTGCATTTGCTTTTGTCTGAGGGAAATTAACAACAGCATGAATAGAAATTGTGTTAAAGTAGAATCAAAGTGACTTAACCATAGAGAGTAACTATTGCATAACAAGCTGTGTACAGGAACTGAGACACTGCACCATTGACCAGAAGTGCATCGCAAATGACCTGATGTGCTTCGAGTGAAAAGACTGTATCTGGAGATCCGATGTGCATCTGGAGAGACCAAAACCATGGCTTGGACCCTACTGATGTCCAAGATGACATCTCTCGAAATATGACCTGACCTGATGACGACTGAGACTCACCCTCAGGGGACCCTGAGGACCTGAGGACCCTGAGGATCTGAGGACCTGAGGATCTGAGGATCTGAGGATCTGAGGATCTGAGAGAGAAAAACCGGGGGAGTGATGTTTATATTATTGAAATCATGCCATTGATGAGTGCTAAATGAGAGAGATACTCATGATTCTTTCTTTTGTTTTTGTTTGTCCCTAGCTTCTGGACATCTGATGATCTATTGGACACAGCCATTTGCAGAACAAGAAGATTTCCTTCAAGATAGGTTCACAAGCATTTACTTCAAAAGTAAATAAAGTTACTTACAGTTTTATGTACAGTTTTATTAGATACTTGTCAAATTCACTTGTGTTCACACATGAGTGAATGTTGACAATACATAGTTCCTACATGACGTCACTACATACGGGGATTTGCCGACCCGGCGCCATTTGTATTGGCATTCTGTGGGCAAAACAATAGAAAAAGAAGCTGAAACGTGTTAATGTCGTGATAAAGTTGAAAATGGTCATCTCCTGCTGGGTCAATGGATGTTCAAATTGTGCCGGAGGTTCCGTTAAACTTGGATTTTACAGTATACCCATCATTAGACTTCATGAATGTGAGAAGACTAAGCTTTTGTCAGAACAACCACGGAGGTTATGGCTTGCGGAGATAAACAGGCAAGAAACTCCCTCAAAACACGCAAGAATATGCTCGGAGCACTTTGTGTCAGGTGCGTATCGTATCTTATAATGTGTTGACAGACGTAATTTACTCAGTATTAACTTGTGTATGCTGATAGCTGGTAACTTGAGAGTTTCATTATTTAGATTACTTTATTATGAGGAGGATCGGTGTCGCGTCCGAGGCTCTCGAGGGCAACGTAAATGTATTAAATAGATAATAATAGTTCTATGGTGGGCTAAAACAATGTTCACAAACAGCATTGCTTCTGTAAAAAGATCTGTGTCATAAAATAAACTGCTCTTTACGCCTGGAAAAATCAGTTGCCCACCATTCACCAAAACATACGGTCAAAAACGCGGAAATAAACAATAACAGCAATCCAGAGTGTCCGTGTGGCATTAGCATTAATTAAATTAATTGTTAATATAATTAAAATAATAAAATGGAGCTCCAACTGGTATTAAATCTAAAGTTTTTGAGAAATGTTTGCATTGCTTGTTAATTTTTGCTGCATAATTTGATCAAATATGTAAAACATGTCCGTAGCACGTTAAACTGTGGTGCCATTGTATTAATATACAATTATTTGCTCAAAAGTTGCCCTTTTTTTCCAATTTGCGTTTGAATATCTACATTTATTCTCATTCTTCTGTTTAATGGAATGCACAAACACAACAGCGTGCCATCAAAGATGGCGTCTCCGAGGAGGTCATGTGACATTCATTGGTCTGTGGGAACTATGTATACAAAAAGTTCATGAGTGTAGCCTAGATTAATGTAGCTTAGATCAATGAGATAGATTACATTTAAAAGCATTTTGATGCATTTGTGTATAGCCCAAAAACAAAATAGTGGATATTTTTGAAAAGTTTAAAAGTTGTGGATTTATCAGCACAGATTAGAGAATCAAACACCATTGTAGAATAATAACTGACCCCAACCCCAAACCTAATTAGCTACTATTAGGATAATACTAATTTGATTAAAGATGTACATTCATCCCAAACTGCCTGACAATAATATCTTTAGATAATAAAAAGTAATAAATCACTGACCACTATAGAAGTGTAAATGTTGACCGCCACTGATAATGAAAGTAAACCACAGAGAGATTTAAAATGTATGTTTAAGAATATGGCTCAGTAAAAGCAAATATGCAAACATATTTGTAAATAGATTAGAATAGTTTTAAACTATAGTGAATAGTAAAAGTAAAGTACACAGTCTGAGATTGAAAAGTGAAAATAATACAGTGAAATAAGTGTAGTGTAAATAAACTAGTGATGTGCTGAGCGTGCCGGGTCTTCGAAGCGTGTACCGAGTAAAAAAGGGGCGTATTTTTTGAAGTGTGGGTCGAGGCGTGTGTTGGTGACGTATGTGGTGACGTTCGAAGCCTCGCGTAGCGGCCGCACCACGTGACGGTTCATATAGTGCTTCATATAGTTCGGAGAGTGCATTGCTTTGACAGGTGCTTTGTGAGCCGCGGCTGTACCATAGACTGTATTGGCTGTGCCCGTCTGCTTCTGTGTGCGTACGTGTGTGTGCGTACGTGTGTGTGCGTGCGTGTGTGTGCGTGCGTGTGTGTGCGTACGTGTGTGTGCGTGATGTGGAGCAGTCCTGTACTAAGTATAGAGAAACTACTTCATATGAAATACAATTAAAAACGTTTCACTTCAGTAAAACCTCATATATCAGGGCTTCAAGTTATTAGTAATAATACGCTGGACAATATAATTCTGAACAGCTGTGTGGCACAGTCGGTATATGACGGACTCCGAAGCAGAAGATATAGCGTTCGAATCCCGGTCTACCCATAATAAATTTTGTGTTGCAAAGTAAATGTATTTATTTATTGGGAATAAATGGTTTGTTGTGTTTAATTAATCCACCTCTTGGTAGTTTTTCCTCCATTAATCACTTTCTGTAGAACTGTATTACTTTGGATGTTGTAGATCATTCTGATAATTGTACCTCGTCTTATGCCGTACTTGTTATCTATGCGCATGCTCAGCATTATATACTTGTTCACTCTTGCCAAGTAGTTCCATGATACAGCCACGTTGTACAAGCTGATTAAAAGTTAACGGAACTTTATCAATGACTCCTCGCTCATTTCAACATGGTGTCAGAATAAGTGATGAGCCCATCGCCCGTGAGTTTTGCTGCCATTTTTTTGTGAAATTCCCGAAGATTAAACGAGTAAAGCGTTACGGCTAGCTAACGTAATGGCGGAGGGATTTCGCAGACCCGACCCACTCGTTTTTGATGGAGACCTCGCCGAGAGCTGGCGTGTGTTTGAAAGGGAATACGACATCTTCATAGAGGCAGCGCACGCAGACAAATCTGCGAAGACAAAATCTTACATCCTCCTCAATCTTGCTGGAGCAGAAGCCATTGAACGGGAGCGTTCGTTCGTCTACGCCGCAGAAGTTAGGGCGCCAGGTGACAATGGAGCCGTCCTCGCCCCGGCAAAGTCCAGAGAAAATCCCGATTGTCTCAAGCAAAAATTCCGGGAAGTGTGTAACCCACAACACAATAAAACAATGGAAAGGCACAAGTTTCACTCACGAAATCAAAAGCAAGGTGAGACTTTTGAGTCATTTATCAGTGATTTAAAAATAAAATCAAAAGGATGCCACTTTGGAGAGCTGACAGACGAACTTATCTGTGACAGAATTGTGTGTGGCATAAATGATGACAGCATCAGAAAAGCGCTGCTACGTGATAAGACTTAACACTGGTCAAAGCCATTTCCATTTGTCGCATATATGAAGTGACTGAGGAGAACACGAAAGCCTTGGCGAAGCAGGCAGTTACGTGCGTAGATGCGCTGCAAAAGAGCTCCACTGGGGGGCACCACAGGACAAAGTTTAAACAAGCATACAGGCAAGATGCGAAGCCCATCTCAAATTGCAACAACTGTGGAGGCAGCCACGCACCGCAAAGAGACAAATGTCCAGCATTTGGCCAACAATGCCATAAATGCAAAAAGATGAATCATTACAAAAAATGCTGTAAATCCAGTTCTCAACATTATGAAAGAAAAAGTTTCAATAAACAAGGCTACAACAAAAGACCAGTGAACCAGTTAGATGTTGAGCAAACAGACTACACTGTAAATGATGAAACTTTCTATGTGGATGGTGTTTCTGTCGACGCAATTAATGGACAACTTGAAAACCGTGATGAAGGATTTGTTACATTACGTATAAACGACAATCCCATTGAAATGAAGATTGACACAGGTGCTAAATGCAATGTGCTCGCAAAAGACACTTTCAAGCAGATATCCAATGGACAAATCATAAAATGTGACAAAAATACAAATCTTGTGGCTTATGGAGGCAGCAAAATCGAAACAGCTGGTTTTGTCACACTGTCTTGTTATCTAGATGGACAACAACATGCATTACCTTTCTTCCTGGTTGAGCGTGATGTACTTCCACTGCTAGGATTTCGATCATGCATGCGTCTTGGACTGGTCTCACTGAGTCCTCATGTGCACCAGATCAGCACAGAAACGGACTTTGACAAACACATTAAAGAAGATTATAAAGATGTGTTTAATGACAAATTGGGAGGACTGCCAATGACATACGCCATGACATTGGATCCAACTGTACAGCCAGTCGTCCGTCCCGCACATCGCATTCCATTGGCAATGCAGGAACGGGTGAAAGCTGAACTCGATAAAATGACAAACATAGGTGTCATCACTCCTGTATCCGAGCCCACAGATTGGGTCTCATCAATGGTCGCAGCACACAAACGAGATAAAGAAGAAATAAGGTTGTGCATTAATCCTAAAGACTTAAACACTGCTCTAAAGAGGCCCCACTACCCAATGCGTAGTGTGGAGGAAGTTGCCACCCAAATGTCAGGCGCAACTCTGTTTTCTGTGCTTGATGCTAAAAGTTCATTTTGGCAAATAAAGCTTGATCAGAAGTCATCCATGCTGACAACTTTCAGCACACCTTTTGGCCGCTACAGGTTTCTCCGCATGCCATTTGGTATAAGCTCAGCAAGTGAAGTTTTCCAGCGCTCAATGGAACAACTGTTTGCTGGTTACCCATGTGCTATTATCGTTGATGATATAATCGTGGGAGGTCGTGATGCTGCAGAACATGATGCCAATTTAAAGAAAGTGCTTGACCGTGCACGGGAGATCAACCTAAAGCTGAACCCGCGAAAGTGCAAATTTCGCCTAGACCAAGTGTGCTACGTGGGACACCTATTCACAAAGGAAGGGTTGAAGGCTGATCCTACAAAGACTGAGGCAATCTCAAAAATGCCTGTCCCTGAAGATTCCCTTGCTGTCCAACGTTTTCTCGGCATGGTGAACTATCTTGGGAAGTTCATCCCAAATCTCAGCAGTATTGCTGCACCACTCAGGCTGCTCACTCACAAGGACACAGCCTGGTGTTGGCTGCCACAACACCAACAAGCGTTCGAAAATCTCAAGTTATGCTTATCAAGCTCACCGGTCCTGTCGTACTATGATGTTAAAAAACCAGTTACATTAACCTGCGATGCATCAGGTTATGGGCTGGGTGCGGCTTGTTTGCAGAATGAGAATCCTGTTGCATATGCGTCTCGCACTCTCTCGGACACAGAAACTCGATATGCACAGATCGAAAAAGAACTGCTTGCAGTTGTTTTTGCTTGCTCTAAGTTCAAAGACTACATTTATGGAAAGCACACAGTTATAGAAACAGACCACCAGCCCCTGGTCACAATCTTAAAGAAGCCGATCCACACAGCTCCTGCTCGTTTGCAGAGGATGCTACTCCGGTTACAAGCTTATGACATCACTCTCATCTACAAAAAGGGTAAGCACATGTACCTTGCCGATACCCTGTCAAGAGCTCCAACAAAGACAGTCTCTCAAGCTCATAGTGCGAGTAGTACATATGAAGTCATGTCTGTCAGTTTCATTTCCACAGCCAGACTTGAAGAACTGAGGGCACACACAGACAGAGACCAACTACTCCAGACTGTAAGCACTGTAATCCAGAACGGATGGCCAAACAAAGAACGCCAGGTACCTCCCCCTGCCCAACCATTTTTTCCTTACAGGGATGAGTTGGTGGTGGAGGATGGAATCGTCGTCAAAGGCCACAGACCAGTCATTCCAAGCTCACTGCAGCATGAGTATATCCAAATCATGCACAGAGGCCACCCTGGTGTTGACTCAACAAAGTGCAGAGCCAGAAGCAGTGTTTTGGCCCACTATGAACATTGACATTTCAAAAGAGCTACAGTCCTGTGCAGTATGTAATGCTACTCGTCCACACCAGCTGAAGGAACCGTTACAACTACACCCAGTCCCTGCCCTGCCATGGTCCACAGTCGCAACAGATCTTTTTGAATGGCAAGGTCAACCATACTCAGTATTGGTAGACTCGTACTCCGGCTGGTTTGAAATCGACCGTCTTCGTGACATCTCTTCAGCAACCGTGATCAAGAAGTTAAAGAGACATTTTTCTGTCCATGGAGCACCGCACACGCTCATCTCCGACAATGGAAGACAATACACGAGCCAACGTTTTAAGGAGTTTGCCACGCAATGGGATTTTGTGCATGTCACCAGCAGTCCTGAATACCCGCAGTCGAACGGTTTGGCTGAACGTGCAGTCCGCAGTGCCAAACAGCTGATGGAAAAGTCGCATAGAGATGGATCTGATGTGTTCCTTAATCTTCTGAACATCAGGAACATTCCTCGTGACAGCACACTGGGTTCATCTGCTGAACGTCTCATGTCCCGTCAAACACGTTCAACTTTTCCTGTCGACACTAAACTGCTAGCCCCTGCATCAAAGAACTCGGTGCAAATTGCTTCGCAGCTCCAAAATAAAAGACTCATTCAAAAACAATACTATGATGCAAACAGTCGCCCTCTAATACCGCTTGCGGAAGGTCAAGTTGTTAGATTGCAGACTACAAAAGGACATGATCGCATTGGCACAGTGAAGGGAGTGTGTAAAGAGCCTCGTTCCTACATCATTGAGTCAAATGGAGGCGTCTATCGCAGGAATCGCAGACACATTCTTCCTGTCGCTGAGCCACGACCTCGACACTTTGACCCTGCTGTAGTAGATCCACCAGACCTGGCTCCTCCCTCACCACAAATCCGGCAGGTGCCTCGTCCTTCACAGCCGATTCAACAATTCGCTGGCGTACACTTGAAGGCTCATTCTTCTACTGGAGAGCCCCAGGGTGTTAATGCCTATGTGACACGCTCGGGTCGGATTTGCAAGCCGAATCCTAAATACTGTGATTAACCTGTATATGATGTTTTTTGAAAAAAAAAGAAAACGGATTGTTATGATTGTGATTACAGTATCTTATACTTATTTTGTTGACCTAAGTGAGTTTTACACATATTCAGATTCTATACTGGTCATGTTTGGGAATACATGATGCATTTTATTTGAGATAAGGTTATATAAAGTTTATTGCAGAAAAGTTCTTTTATTCAATAGCTGTAAAATTATTTGTTTTATTCAACTTGCTTAATATATTTTGTTACCGAAGGCAGTAACTAAAAAGAGAGGATGTAGATCATTCTGATAATTGTACCTCGTCTTCTGCCGTACTTGTTATCTATGCGCATGCTCAGCATTATATACTTGTTCACTCTTGCCAAGTAGTTCCATGATACAGCCACGTTGTACAAGCTGATTAAAAGTTAACGGAACTTTATCAATGACTCCTCGCTCATTTCAACAGATGTGTTTGTTGTATCAACACAATTGACTGAAAGACTCAAATAGTTCATAGTTCATGAAGCATCCTTTCAAACACAACACGTTAGACCATAGATTGCAAATATACATTTTAACATTAGATCTCACCATTCATTGTAAGCACTTTTTTTTTTTGTTTTTTTTTTAAGTTTATTTGCAGAAAAAAAAGAAGACATACAAAACAACAGTGATACAAAAACATACATAGACATTCAGGTATACATAAAGGTGAACATACAGGTAGACGTACAGGTAGACGTACGGGTAGATATACAGGTAGGGAAACAGGTATTGGCAAAAAGGGTTGAGGGGGGAAGGAAAAAGTTAGTTAGTCAACATCGGCGGTAACATAGGATTCTTTAGTTGGAGAGAAGGAAGCGTAAATAGAAGAGTGACAATATTTGCACATCTATACACCCACAAGCTTACCATTGTAAGCACTTGAGTGTTATGTATTTCTTTGTCCACATGATGGCGTAGTGGAGCATGATTCACCTCGAGCCTTCGACTCATGGGCCGAGTAATAGGCTGCTATCCCTCAAGGCTTCATGGGGCTTCATATTGCCATCACTAGTGTAAACAATCAGTATTAGAATAAAAGTATAAAGTAAGAACAGTGAAATTAGCTTCTAATTTGAGACTCAGCTCGTTTTTTGTCTGTGTTTTGACTGAATCTGCTGAGTTCTTGTGTGTCCAATAGTGTTTGTTGTTTTTATATTTGATTTGTTTTTGTTTTTGTTTGTTTTTTGTTTATTTATTTACTTTATTTTTGTTTTGTTTTTCTCCAGGATAGAGGATAAAATCCACTGATATTGATTTGATGATTATGAGTTTAATGCATACATTTTCTTTGTTTTTAAATAATTCTGTAAAGTTTTTTTTTTAGAATTTTTTTTTTTTTCCTTTTCTCACTTTATTGATTGATCAAATTGAGTGATCACATGTGATTATGTGATCAAAGGGGAGGGTGTTAGTATTAGATAGCAATATGGCCTACGTGCAGGACTGTACAAGGACTCTACAAGGACTCCATGTTATGACTATGATGTGACTGTCTCTTTGTGACACGTACGTCTTTCGATGTGTGACGTGACAATGACTATATAAACTGTGTACTGCCTTTATTCTGTCTGAGAGAAAGAAGCAAAGGAAACCAGTGGAACTTGAGAGAAACTTAAATAAACTTCCAGAGTTTGGCACACCACGATCCGTCTCTGTCTGCTGAATCCCTGACAAAAACACTGGATATTGCATGGTTAGTAAATAAATAAATAGTTAAAGGAAAATGGATATATATGTTTTTACCTTTTAATACTTAAGTATAGCAAAAATGAATAAGAAAACAACCACTTGAAAATGGGTCCGGCCCTCCACAAAACTGTTATCCTAAAGTGACCCCTGGTCTCAACCATTGTCTGTTTATGAGGAATGGACTGACTGCTGAGGAGATACCCTCTGGACCCTGTGGTCCTCAAATGCTATTTTCATGCTTACATACCTCACGCCCACGTCCATCACTCTTTGGTCCCGCCCTCTCCCTCCTCAGCTCGCCCTGTGATTGGTCCTTTCTCTTGCTTGTGTCGTGTGTTTTTCCGGGTTTCTTTCTCGTTACCAAACACGCTGCGAAAAGGACAAACTGTGCGAATCCTGGATATTTCACCACAAAAAACAACGGTATGAAGTTTAACTGACGCACAACACGAGCCCTGTTCACGTCACACCGCCGACTGTAGCAGGAAGCTAGCGTTAGCACTGTCTGATCGAGAATGTGCTTTATCTGCAGGGACAAGGTTAAAGGCAGAGGCTGGTTATGCAGCTGGAGGAGTGGGGCTTTGGGATGCTAATGTGACAGTTTGTTGTCCATTATATTGTTATACAAGTGGTTAATCCTTGTAAAGTAATGATATCCCGTTGGGCAGTGTAATCTCTGAATCACCACAGAACTGCATAGGAATGTTGAAAACACGAGTGCATGAAGTATGAGTAAAAATGGTTTATAATTGGTTGTAATAATAATTGTAGTTGTAGAAATAGTACCAATTATAGTTGTCTTGGTAGTATTATAATAGTACTAGTTCCAGTAGCAGCAGCAGCAGCAGTAGTAGCAGCAGCAGTAATCATACTCTCTCTACAGTGATGGCAGAGCTCTCCATGGTCCTCCGCGGTGTGGCCCGGGTCGGCTCGGCTCTGGTCTCCTCTCAGTCTGAACACATGCGTCTCTTCGTCTGTAACTCCTCCCTCTGCTCTGGGGTCAGAGCGACTCAGGCCATGGTCAGCGAGCTCGTCAACACCATCACCTCAGCAACAGGCTCCACGGTACAGGCACTCTGGTCTCTCTCTGGTCTCTCTCTGGTCTCTCTCTGGTCTCTCTCTGGTCTCTCTCTGGTCTCTCTCTGGTCTCTGGTTTGTAACTGGTTTCTCTCCTCAGTCCCAGTCCTGTCAGGAGGATGTCTTCCCTGAGATTGACCCAGAGGAGGCGGCAAAGTGGGCCATGGACTCTGAGCTGTACACAGAGCAGAGCGGTGAGTGACATCACCACAATGTGACATCACCACAGTGTGGCCTAGAGGATTAAATGTCTTGACCCTTCTGGGTTGTGTTTCTGCCTTTGTAGGCTTCCCCCCTCCTGGTTCCTCCCCTGATCCTGGTCCTGGCCCTGGTCCTGGTCTTGGTCTGGGAGGTTCCAGGTTCCTCCACACCTTCTCTGCTCTGAACGTCCACAGACGATGTGTCCACACTGTGAGGCTGAGCCCAGAGGACATGCAGAAGGCCAGAGAGGCCAGGCAGGCCGGGACCAAGCCTGCCAGGCAGAAGGTAAGACTCAGACCCAAGCCTGCCAGGCAGAAGGTAAGACCCAGACCAAGACCCAGACCCAGTGGTTATCCTGTCTGTGGTTACAGCTTAGCGAGCGCGCCAGAGAGAGGAAAGTGCCTGCAACCAGGATCAGCCGCCTGGTGAACTTTGGAGGTGAGAGACTAGAGAGAGACGAGAGAGACCAGTGAGAGAGACTATTACAGGTTATTTGTAGAACATAACCCTTGTGATAAACCAGGGACCACTGTATGATTTCCCTCACATTACTTTAATCTTGTCGTAAATTGGGGGAAGAGGAGGACAGTGAAACCTTTGTCCTTAAATGTCCCGGATTGTCGCCTGTCCTTTGCATTGGGGTTGGTCCCTCCTGATCTCTTTGGTCTGTGCAGGTCTGGCTGTGGGTCTAGGCATTGGAGCCATCGCTGAAGTGGCCAAACAGTCTCTGAGCGGGAAGAACAAAGGAGGTAAAACAGTGAGGAAATCTGTTACTTACAGTTCCTTTGCGAAAGTATTCGGCCCCCTTGAACCTTTCAACATTTCGCCACATTTCAGGCTTCAAACATAAAGATATAAAAATAAAAAATTTCGTCAAGAATCAACAACAAGTGGGACACAATCGTGAAGTGGAACGAAATTTATTGGATAATTTAAACTTTTTTAACAAATAAAAAACTGAAAAGTGGGGCGTGCAATATTATTCGGCCCCCTTGCGCTAATACTTTGTAGCGCCACCTTTTGCTGCAATTACAGCTGCAAGTCGCTTGGGGTATGTCTCTATCAGTTTTGCACATCGAGAGACTGGAATTCTTGCCCATTCTTCCTTGCAAAACAGCTCGAGCTCAGTGAGGTTGGATGGAGAGCGTTTGTGAACAGCAGTCTTCAGCTCTTTCCACAGATTCTCGATTGGATTCAGGTCTGGACTTTGACTTGGCCATTCTAACACCTGGATACGTCTATTTGTGAACCATTCCATTGTAGATTTGGCTTTATGTTTTGGATCATTGTCCTGTTGGAAGATAAATCTCCGTCCCAGTCTCAGGTCTTTTGCAGACTCCAACAGGTTTTCTTCCAGAATGGTCCTGTATTTGGCTCCATTCATCTTCCCATCAATTTTAGCCATCTTCCCTGTCCCTGCTGAAGAAAAGCAGGCCCAAACCATGATGCTGCCACCACCATGTTTGACAGTGGGGATGGTGCGTTCAGGGTGATGAGCTGTGTTGCTTTTACGCCAAACATATCGTTTTGCATTGTGGCCAAAAAGTTCGATTTTGGTTTCATCTGACCAGAGCACCTTCTTCCATATGTTTGTGTCTCCCTGGTGGCTTGTGGCAAACTTTAAACGAGACTTTTTATGTATATCTTTGAGAAATGGCTTTCTTCTTGCCACTCTTCCATAAAGGCCAGATTTGTGCAGTGCACGACTGATTGTTGTCCTATGGACAGACTCTCCCACCTCAGCTGTAGTTATCTGCAGTTCATCCAGAGTGATCATGGGCCTCTTGGCTGCATCTCTGATCAGTCTTCTCCTTGTTTGAGATGAAAGTTTGGAGGGACGGCCGGGTCTTGGTAGATTTGCAGTGGTCTGATACTCCTTCCATTTCAATATAATTGCTTGCACAGTGCTCCTTGAGATGTTTAAAGCTTGGGAAATCTTTTTGAATCCAAATCCGGCTTTAAATTTCTCCACAACAGTATCTCGGACCTGCCTGGTGTGTTCCTTTGTCTTCATGGTTCTCTCTGCGCTTTAAACAGAACCCTGAGACTATCAAAGAGCAGGTGCATTTATACGGAGACTTGATTACACACAGGTGCATTCTATTTATCATCATCAGTCATTTAGGACAACATTGGATCATTCAAAGATCCTTCTGGAGTGAGTTTGCTGCACTGAAAGTAAAGGGGCCGAATAATATTGCACGCCCCACTTTTCAGTTTTTTATTTTTTTTTTAAGTTTAAATTATCCAATAAATTTCGTTCCACTTCATGATTGTGTCCCACTTGTTGTTGATTCATGACAAAAAATTAAAATTTTATATCTTTATGTTTGAAGCCTGAAATGTGGCGAAATGTTGAAAGGTTCAAGGGGGCCGAATACTTTCGCAAGGTACTGGATGCACCTAAGAAATTAGACTAAACTTACTCTGTTTGTTTCCTTTCTCTCTCTCTGGTCTCTCTCTGGTCTCAATAGAGGCTTTCTTGGACTCGGCTCTTCTTTCTGAAGCAAATGCAGAGAGAATTGTGAACACTTTGTGCAAAGTTCGAGGAGCGGCGCTGAAGATTGGACAGATGCTCAGTATCCAAGGTAACAGACTCTTCTACAGGGGAGGAGCTCTGAGTACAGTCACTGCTCCTCCTCACAATGAGAGCTGAGGGGATGGAGAACTGTATGAGATCCCTCTGGGAGGACCTGGACTCTCTCTGGTCCCTGGTCTCTCTCTGGTCCCTGGTCTTCCTGGTCTAATTATGGACTGTTGTGTTGCAGATAACTCGTTCATAAATCCACAGCTGCAGAAGATCTTTGAGAGAGTCCGTCAGAGCGCGGACTTCATGCCAGCCTGGCAGATGAACGTAAGACCTCACCCTCTGCTCCTCACCCTCTGCTCCTCACCCTCTGCTCCTCACCCTCTACTCCTCACCCTCTGCTCCTCACCCTCTGCTCCTCACCCTCTGCTCCTCACCCTCTGCTCCTCACCCTCTGCTCCTCACCCTCTGCTCCTCACCCTCTACTCCTCACCCTCTGCTCCTCACCCTCTGCTCCTCACCCTCTGCTCCTCACCCTCTAGTCTCTCCCCCACAAAGAGCCCTGGCTGAGGACCTGGTCTCTAGCCTCTTTCTCTGGTCCTCACCCTCTCTCCCACAGAAAGTCCTGGCTGAAGACCTGGACCTGGGCCCTGGCCTCCCTCTTTTTTTATTATCTTTCTTTTTAATGTACTGTGATTATTTGTGATAACACTATATAAAGTTGCTTCGCCTCCTCTCTGTCTCTGGTCTTCCCCCTCTCTCACCCTCTCATCCTCTCATCCTCTCCTATCCCCCACAGAAAGTCCTGGCTGAAGACCTGGGTCCTGGTTGGAGGGACCAGTTGGAGTCTTTTGAGGATAAACCATTCGCTGCGGCGTCCATCGGACAGGTGCACCACGCTGTGCTGAAGGACGGACGAGAGATCGCTATGAAGATACAGGTACAATACTCTACTCTATACTTTGATGTATACATATTGCTGCTAATGTACAGATTCTAACATATAACTACACATTGCTTGCACTAGAATACACAGTACTTTATATTTGCCTCTTATTCTCCCAAATGTAAAACTTTTATACTTCTTTTTTATTATTTTTATTTTCAAGATGGAGATTTTATACTTGATGCTAGAGTTAGAGATGTTGTTTTATTTATAGTATAGCTATTGTTCACTTAACTTGTGCTGTGTGCTCCTCTTTCCTACTGTTCTATAACTTGTGATGCAACACTGAAATTCCCCCTCTGTGGGACGAATAAAGGATCTCTTCCTCTATACTCTATACTCATATGCTCTATACTTAGGACTTCTATACTCTATTCTCTTATGCAGGTACAATACAAGAGATTATAAAGACTGGTTTAAAGCTGAGGGACCTAACTTTACAACCACCATAGAACTATGTAATGACAAGAGATTAGAGAGGAGAGCAGAGCAGAGAGCACCTACTAAATTATAAGAAAAGTGCAAAGTAGACCAGAGACCACGAGACCATTGTGTGAAAGAGTCTCCCAAAAACACAAGTGATTGACAGTTAGGAGGACCAATAGTCTTGATGATCCAGAGAAAGACAATCCCCCTGTGATTTGTCCCTGTAATGTGTCCCTGTAATGTGTCCCTGTGATGCGTCCCTGTGATGTGTCCCTGTGATGTGTCCCTGTGATGTGTCCCTGTGATGTGTCCCTGTGGTGCAGTATCCCGGAGTTGCAGAGAGCATCCACAGTGACATCAACAACCTCATGTCTGTGCTGAGGATGAGTGTGGTGCTACCTGACGGTGAGTGGACCTCTCTCTTATCTCTCTCTCTCACTGGTCTCTCTCTCTCTCTCTGGTCTCTCTCTCTCTCTCTGGTCTCTCTCTCTCTCTCTCTGGTCTCTCTCTCTCTCTCTCTGGTCTCTCTCTCTCTCTCTGGTCTCTCTTTCTCTCTCTGGTCTCTCTCTCTCTCTCTCTCTCTCTCTGGTCTCTCTTTCTCTCTCTGGTCTCTCTCTCTCTCTCTCTCTCTCTCTGGTCTCTCTTTCTCTCTCTGGTCTCTTTCTCTCTGGTCTCTCTCTCTCTTTAGCTCTCTCTCTCTCTCTCTGGTCTCTCTCTGGTCTCTCTCTCTCTTTAGCCTCTCTCTCTCTCTGGTCTCTCTGGTCTCTCTGGTCTCTCTCTCTGGTCTCTCTCTGGTCCCTTTCTCTCTTGTCTCTCTCTGGTCTCTCTCTGGTCTTTCTGGTCTCTCTTTCTCTGCTCTCTCTCTGGTCCTTTTCTCTCTGGTCTCTCTCTCTCTCCCTCTCTGCTCTCTCCTGGTCTCTCTCCTGATTCACCTGGTCTCTGGTGGTTCAGGTCTGTTTGCGGACAGCAGTCTGGAGGTGCTGCAGAGGGAGCTGACCTGGGAGTGTGATTACAAACGAGAGGCAGAGTGCGCCAAGAGGTTCAGGTGGGTCTCTACAGCGCCCCCTGTGGCTGCTATACACTCACTACATTCTACACAACACAAATCTATAACAATGTCATAAAAGGAGGAAGTCTGCTTGAATTAAAGCTGGGGTATGTAACTATCAGACCACACCTAGAGAAAGTCAAATCCTTGTCACTTGTTCCTGGCTCTGGTCTCTCTCTCTGGTCTCTCTCTGGTCTCTCTCTCTGGTCTCTCTCTGGTCTCTCTCTCTGGTCTCTCTCTCTGGTCTCTCTCTGGCCTCTGGTCCCTCTGTAATCTCTCTCTCTCTGGTCTCTCTCTGGCCTCTGGTCCCTCTGTAATCTCTCTCTCTCTGGTCTCTCTCTCTGGTCTCTGGTCCCTCTGTAATCTCTCTCTCTCTGGTCTCTCTCTCTGGTCTCTGGTCCCTGTGTAATCTCTCTCTCTCTGGTCTCTCTCTCTGGTCTCTGGTCCCTCTGTAATCTCTCTCTCTCTGGTCTCTCTCTCTGGTCTCTGGTCCCTGTGTAATCTCTCTCTCTGGTCTGTGGTCTGTAATCTCTCTTGTCTTTGGTCTCTCTCTGTTCTTTCACATCATGTATTCCTGGCCTCTGTCACATCTTTAGATCAGCTTTTTCAGACCCAAAATTGAAAAAGAGAGGACACCTTCACTCAGCCAATCAGCTCTCAGCCCAAAGAGTCAGATACAGTATAGTCACAGGGGTCTCTGTTGCAGGTCTCTCGTGGCTTCAGACCCGTTCTTCCGCGTCCCTGAGGTGGTGGACTCTCTCTCAGGAAGCAGAGTCCTCTCCATGGAGCTGGTGCAGGGGGTTCCTCTGGATTCCTGTGTGGATCTGGACCAGGAGACGCGAAACCAGGTGCGAACTAGGCCTGGACCAGGCCTGAAGTAGGTCTTGGCCAGGTCTGATCTGATCCTTCTCTCCTCAGATCTGCTTTAAGATCCTGCAGCTGTGTCTCCGGGAGCTGTTTGAGTTCAGGTTCATGCAGACGGATCCAAACTGGGCAAACTTCTTCTACAACACAGAGACCAACAACGTAATACTCTGAAACTCTCTGGTGTCTCTTTCTGATCTCTCTCTCTGGTCTCTCTCTCTCTCTGGTGTCTCTCTCTCTCATGTTTGTCTCTGGTTCTAGGTTTATCTACTGGATTTCGGTGCCTGCAGAGAATATGATAAGAAGTTCACAGATGACTACATAGAGGTACACAGACACACACAGACACACACAGACACACACAGACACACACAGACACACACAGACACACACAGACACAGGTGAAGATGCCCATGCCTAACTCTCTCTGATCTCTCTCTCTCTCTCTCTCTCTCTCTCTGCAGGTGGTCCATGCTGCTTCAGTTGGAGACCGAGAGACTGTTTTGCAGAAATCCATCGAGCTCAAGTTTCTGACTGGATTTGAGGCAAAGGTCAGACCCCCTACCCTGCTCTCTAACTCCAGCATTATTGTCCTCACACTCGAATATGGTTTTACTGCTTATGGCAAATAATTTGAATCGTCTTTTCCTCAGCCCATGATGGATGCTCATGTAGAAGCAGTGATGATCCTGGGGGAGGCCTTCTCCTCCTCCGCCCCCTTTGACTTTGGGAGACAGGACACGACTCAGAGGATCCAGGGTCTGGTCCCTGTGATGTTGAGGCACCGCCTCACCCCTCCCCCAGAGGAGTCCTACTCCCTCCACCGCAAGATGGCCGGCTCCTTCCTCATCTGCTCCAAGCTGCAGGCCAAGATCTGCTGCAAGGACATGTTCATGGAGGTCTACCAGGCCTACAAGGACCAGGTCTGAGGTCTGGACCAGGTCTAAACCAGGAGTACAAAGAGGGAAGGAAACGTAAGCGAACCAAGTCTGGACCAGGTCTACAAGGAGTGGAGGAACTGTGACTGATGAAGGACAAAGCAAGGTCTGAATCAGGTCTAGACCGGGACCAGGACCAGGACTGTTCAGACCCTCAAGAAGACTGTAAACAAGTGTATTTTAAAATTGTGTGGAGAATCATGACAATAAAGTGTGTGTTAAATGTAAGTATTTTTATTCAGAATCAGGTGTGACATCACCCCAGTGTGACATCACCCCAGTGTGACATCACCCCAGTGTGACATCACCCCAGTGTGACATCACCCCAGTGTGACATCACCACAGTGTGACATCACCACAGTGTGACATCACCAGTGTGACATCACCACAGTGTGACATCACCACAGTGTGACATCACCACAGTGTGGCCTTCCTGTTATTTGTAGGAGACACTTTCTGATGACCTCGTCCCAAAGCGTCTGTGGTAACGATCTGTTTGTGTTAATCCTGCTCCTGGATCAATGTGTTTGTAACAAAAATATATCCACTTTACATTTATGCTAACACAGACTGTATACACATGGACAATGCTAACTCATGGAAGCCCAATAGGGAAGTGCTCATGGTGAAGTTTGGCCTTTCTCTTGCTCTTATTGACTTCCATGTAAATGTAAACCAAAGAGAGAAACGAGAGAGAGAGACGGAGAGACCAGAGAAAGACTAGAGGGATGGAAAAAAATCTGTGGCTCTCTAAAGTCTATGGTGTGGTCTTCAGATGGGGCCTATTTGTGCGGAGTTTTCATGTTCTTTGTGTGTCTGAGTAGGTCAGCCATGTCCAAACTCGGGCCCGAATGCCAATTGCGGCCACCTGTGCCATTTTATGTGGCCCTCTGCTGTCAACACAAAGTTGCTCTTTGACAGTGTCATCCAACCAACTTCAGCTCCACCAATACAGTCATGCTATAGCCTGTTGTAAATCTCAGACCCTCTGGAATCTAGTCGTTGTTATACTGACATTTGTTTTACGATTGTGTCACAACATTTCAAATATCAATCAATAAGGAAATATCATAACCCATTTAAGATTCCAGAATCCAGTCAATCCAGCTCAAATCCAGTTTTTAAATCCAGGTTGTTGGCCCCAGGTCTTGTCTGATAAACTAAAGTGGCCCTGTTACTAAAACATTTGAACACTCCTGGTGTAGGTTTCATTCAGATACTTTGATTTTTAAAGTAATTAATATTACACGTTAACTATGCACATTTTTTAAATGATCTTTATTAAGTAAATTATACACTATACAGAAAATTGTAGAAACCTCACTGCCATCTCTGTGGAGTGAGAGGAGAAAAGGGTAGAGGCCCCTCTAGAGGAGGGGGAGAGGAGAGAGGACATATTATTTTTTCAAGATACATGTTTAGAGAGAATAACAACAAATATTGCAGGATGTTTCCCCATCACCATCACCTGCACTTCCCGCTCCGTCCACACGATGTCACTGTTCCCCTCTTTCACTCACCCCCTCCCCTCTTTCTTCTTCCTCCCTCTTTCTCCTCCCTCGACTCTCTCCTCCTCCCCCTCCCTACTCCAGCTGCTTTCCTGGAAAAAAAAAAAAGAAAAAAGGAAAAAACCTCAATGGACCAGGGCCCGCCTCGGATGTGCGTCTCCCTCTGGTCTCTGTCGCGTCTGGGCGGGTCCAGAGCGTCTGCTGCGCCCGTGGGTGGAGCTGGGGAGGTCCTGGAGGAAACACACAGACCGCATCCATCACACCACCCCACATAACCCCACACAACAGCCCACCGCCGCCGGGAGAACAGAGCGAGCCTCCCCGTCTCTCTACCTCTCTCCACCCGCACGGCCTCAGTGTCTCCTCTGGGTGAGTTTGTTTCGCTTATCTCGCGTTTGGATAAATGAGGAGTCCTAATGCATCCTCTCTGCTGCTGCTGCTGCTGCTGCTGCTGCTGCTGCTGCTGCTGCTGCTGATCTGAGGCTGGGATCGCCTTCAGGCCTCTGGGAACTGTGTAATTCTGTGTAATACCCTTTTAATGGCTTTTATCCACGCGTTAGTAGAGAGTCGGGATCAGTCTGTGCGGATGGGAGCGGGAGGAGGCGGACTGCGCAGGAAATGGGAAATACTATTGATTTGTGTGGCGCCTCCTTCTGCCTGACTGTTCTTAGAGACTGTGGAGCCAAGACCCTCAGTCTTGGCTCCACAGTCTCTATACGAACACTCTAAAACCAGAACTGAGGCTGTAGACCCAGGACTGAGGCTGTAGACCCAGGACTGAGGCTGTAGATCCAGGACTGAGGCTGTAGACCCAGGACTGAGGCTGTAGACCCAGGACTGAGGCTGTAGATCCAGGACTGAGGCTGTAGACCCAGGACTGAGGCTGTAGACCCAGGACTGAGGCTGTAGATCCAGGACTGAGGCTGTAGATCCAGGACTGAGGCTGTAGACCCATACTGAAGCTCTAGAACCAGGACCGGGGCTCTAGAACCAGGACTGAGGCTCTAGAACGAGAACTGAAGCTCTAGAACCAAGACTGAAGCTCTAGATCCAGGACTGAGACTGTAGATCCAGGACTGAAGCTCTAGATCCAGGACTGAAGCTCTAGAACCAGGACTGAGGCTGTAGACCCAGGACAAGAGATTTTTGAAGCTGAGTTTATTAAACCCATGTCTCTGGTTCTGGTTCTAAAATTGCTTCTGTCTCAACTTTAGCTTCAGACGGACCAACCTCACTCAGCCCAAAGAGTCAAATCCTACTACTACTGGTACTACTGCTACTGCAACTGCTGCTACTACTACTGCTGCTACTACTACTACGACTGCTACTGCTGCTGCTACTTCTTCTGTAGTATTTACATTAACCTGAACTCTAGTTTTTTACTGAAAATGTTTTTTTTTTCTGGATCTTGAAGTTTTCTCTGGTGTATAATAATATCTGAAGTTGAATTTAATGCTTTCTACAAAATCCTAAAACATCAGTCTCATAAGTTTCACTGTTAGTTTAACAGAAGTCCCAGAGTCAAAGACTGCTCTCAGTGTAACCACAGCTTATGTACCATGTGTGTCCTCAGAACTGTTTATGTCTGTGTCATTGCTTGGATTCAGACCAACATTCTGCAGCATCTTTTCTCCAAAGTCCTGTACTGGGCTGGTCCTGGTCCTGGGCTGGTCCTGGTCCTGGGCTGGTCCTGGTCCTGGGCTGGTCCTGGTCCTAGGCTGGTCCTGGTCCTGGGCTGGTCCTGATCCTGGTCTGGTCCTTGTCCTGGCCCTTGTTCTGGTCCTGGTCTTTTATTTAATAGAAAATGTCATTAGTGTCTTGTTGTACAGTCTGACAGCAGTGGGGATGAAGGCCTTAGCATCAGCCTTTCAACAAACTGCTGTTAGCATCAGTTTTGGCTCTGAGTAAAAGAGAGAGAATAAAAATGTAATAAATGTACTTTAATAAATCTGGTGAAAAACACGTTTTGAGGAAAGTTCATAGAATCACAATGGTTTGAAAAGACAGCTCCGTAGTCTGTTTTTACTTCCATCAAACTCAGTGATTTCAGATTCTTCCAATTTAGTGAAAAGCTGCAGTCGTTTAGAGCAACAGTTGTGGATTCACCAACAACAGATCAGAGAATCAGGCTGATCAAACACAAGAAATGTAATAATAACAAACACATGAGGCTGTCTCTCTCTCTGGTCTCTCCCTCTTTCTGGTCTCTCTCTAGTCTCTCTCTGGTCTCTCTCTGGTCTCTCAGACTCCCTCAGACCCCCTCAGACCCCCTCAGACTCCCTCAGACTCCCTCAGACCCCCTCAGACCCCCTCAGACTCCCTCAGACTCCCTCAGACTCCCTCAGACCCCCTCAGACTCCCTCAGACTCCCTCAGACTCCCTCAGACCCCCTCAGACCCCCTCAGACTCCCTCAGACTCCCTCAGACCCCCTCAGACCCCCTCAGACTCCCTCAGACTCCCTCAGACCCCCTCAGACCCCCTCAGACTCCCTCAGACCCCCTCAGACCCCCTCAGACTCCCTCAGACTCCCTCAGACTCCCTCAGACTCCCTCAGACCCCCTCAGACTCCCTCAGACCCCCTCAGACCCCCTCAGACTCCCTCAGACTCCCTCAGACTCCCTCAGACCCCCTCAGACCCCCTCAGACTCCCTCAGACTCCCTCAGACCCCCTCAGACTCCCTCAGACCCCCTCAGACCCCCTCAGACCCCCTCAGACTCCCTCAGACTCCCTCAGACTCCCTCAGACTCCCTCAGACTCCCTCAGACTCCCTCAGACCCCCTCAGACTCCCTCAGACTCCCTCAGACTCCCTCAGACTCCCTCAGACCCCCTCAGACCCCCTCAGACTCCCTCAGACTCCCCCAGACTCCCTCAGACTCCCTCAGACCCCCTCAGACTCCCTCAGACCCCCTCAGACTCCCTCAGACCCCCTCAGACTCCCTCAGACTCCCTCAGACTCCCTCAGACTCCCTCAGACCCCCTCAGACTCCCTCAGACTCCCTCAGACTCCCTCAGACCCCCTCAGACCCCCTCAGACTCCCTCAGACTCCCTCAGACCCCCTCAGACTCCCTCAGACTCCCTCAGACTCCCTCAGACTCCCTCAGACCCCCTCAGACCCCCTCAGACTCCCTCAGACTCCCCCAGACTCCCCAGACCTGCCTCCTCTGTCACATGTGCAGCTGGAGTGTGTCCTGGTCATGTGACTTTGAGCCTTTTGTATTTGAACATCTGCTGTGGAGCATTCCTCTGAGCGTGTGTCAAGAGGAGGGGGAGGAGGGGGAGAGAGGAGGGAGAGGATGGGGGAGAGAGGGGGGAAAGGTCAAGGTCAAACTGCCTGAAAAGACTGAAAGAGAAAAATTCTTCATGCACACTTCCTCTGGATCCCAGTCTCAAACACCCAGGGTGAGAAGGCCAGAACAGTCACGGCATGATGAGAGTGTAACGAGCCGTGGAGCTGAGTTAGAGTGAGTGAAGCTCAGAGGCAGTGCTGATCTTTAGAAAGGTCTCTCTCTGGTCTCTCTAGTCTCTCTCTAGTCTCTCTCTAGTCTCTCTCTAGTCTCTCTCTGGCCTCTCTGGTCTGTCTCTGGTCTCTCTCTGGTCTGTCTTTCTGGTCTCTCTCTCTCTGGTCTCTCTCTTGCTGCTCTCTCTCTCTGCGCTCTCTCTCTGGTCTCTCTCTTTGATCTCTCTCTCTGGTCTCTCTCTCTGGTCTCTGTCTCTCGTCTCTTTCTCTGTTCTCTCTCTCTGTTCTCTCTGGACCAGATGCAGAATCGCTGCTTCCTCTAATTACTGCTGTGTCTGTCCTGGTCTGACCATTAGCTTGATTAGCATTAGCTTGATTAGCATTAGGTTGATTAGCATAGCATTAGCCGCAGCAGCTGTTTCTAATGAGATCTGAGGCTAATCTGTGCTGCTATAGTTCTAACACGATTATCCTGTGTGTGGTATGAGTTTAATGGAATTATTCTGAAACAGAAAAGCTCTCATTTCACTGCAGCAAATAAATCAAAATGATGTTAGTAGTAGTGAAATAATATACACAAACTTTTATTGGTCCCCTCTCTCCCTTCTCTCTCCCCTCTCTCTCTCCTCTTTCTTCCCCCCCTCTCTCCTCTATCCTATGTCTATACCCTCTCCCCTCTCTCTCCCTTCTTTCTCCCCTCTGTCTCCCCTCTCCTCTCTCTCCTCTCTTTCCCCCCTCTCTCCTCTCCCTCTCATCTCTCCTATCTCTATACCCTCCTCTCTCTCCTCTCTCTCCTCTCTCTCCCCTCTCTCTCCTCTCTCTCCCCTCCTCTCTCTCTCCCCTCTCTCCTCTCTCTCCTCCTCTCTCTCCTCTCTCTCCCCTCCTCTCTCTCTCCCCTCTCTCCTCTCCCTCTCATCTCTCCTATCTCTATACCCTCCTCTCTCCCCTCTCCTCTCTCTCCCCTCTCTCTCCTCTCTCTCCCCTCCTCTCTCTCTCCCCTCTCTCCTCTCTCTCCCCTCTCTCTCCTCTCTCTCCCCTCCTCTCTCTCTCCCCTCTCTCCTCTCCCTCTCATCTCTCCTATCTCTATACCCTCCTCTCTCCCCTCTCCTCTCTCTCTCCCCTCTCCTCTCTCTCCCTCTGTGCTCTCTTCCCCCCCTCTCCTTTATCCTTTCTCTCCTCTCTCTCCTCTCTCCCCCTCCTCTCCCCTCTCCACTGGACACTGCTCTCTTGTCCCTCTCCTCCTCCTCCGCTCTCGTCTCTTGTCTCTTCTTCAGATCTACAATCTGAGTCTTTGTTCGAATGTTTTGGGGAAAATCTTTGTTCCTCGATGAGTTCCTCCTCACCACTGAGACCAGTGTCAATAACAAACAGACAAAAACAGGAAACGACCAGGGAGAGACCAGGGAGAGACCAGGGAGAGACCAGGGAGAGACCAGGGAGAGACCAGGGAGAGACCAGGGAGAGACCAGGGAGAGACCAGGGAGAGACCAGGGAGAGACCAGGGAGAGACCAGGGAGAGACCAGGGAGAGACCAGCGAGAGACCAGCGAGAGACCAGCGAGAGACCAGCGAGAGACCAGCGAGAGACCAGCGAGAGACCAGCGAGAGACCAGCGAGAGACCAGCGAGAGACCAGCGAGAGACCAGCGAGAGACCAGCGAGAGACCAGGGAGAGACACCTGAGAGAGACCAGGGAGAGACCAGGGAGAGACACCTGAGAGAGACCTGAGAGAGACCTGAGAGAGACCAGTGAGAGACCAGGGAGAGAGACCAGCGAGAGACCAGGGAGAGAGACCAGGGAGAGACCAGGGAGAGACCAGGGAGAGACCAGGGAGAGACCAGGGAGAGACCAGGGAGAGACACCTGAGAGACACCTGAGAGAGACCTGAGAGAGACCAGCGAGAGACCAG